TTAATTTTAATTCATTTTATGTATTTGCTGTATTTACATAATTATAAAATTAATCTAAAATTATTTTAAATAATTGTAGTTTTATTTCTTTATTGTTATAGTTTTTTCTATATTTACAAAAAGGCATTATATCTTCAGAAAAACTAGTTTTTATTTATTTAATCATTTTGTTGTATTTTTACATCAGCTGATATTTATTAATTAGAATGAGTTTTATTTATTTGTATGTAATTAATATATAAAATATTTTTAGTTTTAATTCCATTTGAGTTATATTTTTATTTCTTCATAAAGTGGCATTATATTTATATAATTTTTTATTTCTTCATGTTTTATGAATTTGTTTTATTATTATTTAAAGTTCTATTATTTGTTGCAGCGTTGATGACCAGAACATCATCATCAGCCCTCCTCAGGTCAAAGGTCATCATTTCTTCTTACCTTCCTGTACTTCTTGTACTTCTTCTTCTTCTTCCTCTTCTTCTCCTCCTTCCTTATCCTCCTCTCCTCTGGCGTCTCCTCCCTGTCCTCCTCGTCCTCCTCATCCTGCTCCTCGATCAGAGGTTCATATCGATCCGGCAGGACGGAGAAAAACACTTCTTTGGAGCTTTTCTGTTGCTGCTTCTTCTTCTTCTCCTCCAGAGGAGCGGCGTCCTCCTCCTTCTCCTTCTCCTGCACTCCCATCCCTCGTTTCCTCCTCGTCTGTCGGGCTGCCGTCTCCTCTGAGCTCCTTGTGTTCAGGCAGGAGGACCTTTGGAGTGAGGAGGAGTCAAACTTTATTAGTAGCCTGAAGTCATTTCAGACACAGGAAGCAGTGTGAGCTGCGACATGAAGGAAGGATCAGAAGAAGAATGTTTCTCACCTCAGCATCTGTTCGCTCCTTCACTTCGTTTGTTTTACAGAGCAAACATCAAACTGAGTCAAACTCAAACACTGAGTCAACAGCACAAACTAGAAAAACACGCCACGAGCTGGAGGCCATTTTCAACTGTCTGATGACAGAGCCACACGTTCAAACGTCACATCAGGAACTATATTCAGGATTTAAACGTATAGTTTTAGAAAACATCTGTGTTTGCACTTTTCTTTCACCGTCACGTCGTCCTGAAATGTTGTTCCTTAATAATCTAAAGTTAGTATGACGTGAGATCAGACTAATGAAGTGTTACTGATGGTTTTATCAGCGAGGTTAGCCAGTCAGCTCAGCTAGCTGGATACTAAAATAAAGAAAAGCTCCGTTAAGCTCTACGGAGGGTTACTGCTCACTTTAACGGACGATGGACATCACTCACTCTAATATCTTTGGAAGCTCTTGAAAGCGCCGAGTGTAAAAAAGAGCCGACCTTACGTTAGCTAAGCTCTGAAAAGAACGGTTATCTTCTTAAACACTGAGGTTATTATCAAAATAATCACAAACACTATAATGAACTGTAAATATTATCAACATGTATGTTGCAAAACCACCGGTGAAAAATTTGTCTGTTTACTTCCTGTCTACAGCAACGTTAGCTTTACCCTCAACCCTAGTGAATAAATGCTAACGTTACTGCACGTTTCACAGTTAGCTTCGACATACTGTTGATCGTATGCAGTTTGTTTTTGCATATAGTTACCAATCATGGTGTTAGTGGGGTTGAGTCAGAGTGACTAACGTTAGCTAACTGTTATCTTCTAAGACACTGAGGTAATTAAACTATCACAAACACAATTATGAACTGTAAATAATAACAATATTTAAATTGCAAAGTCAACGGTGAAAAGTGTTGTCTGTTTACTTCCTGTCTACAGTTACATTATAACTTTGGCCTCCAACCTCAGTGGTCAAAATGCTTTTTCATCCTTAAGTTAGTTAACATCACTTCGCTTTTCACACTTAGCTTTGTACATAAATGTGTTTACTGTTTGTTTTTATATGCAGTGTTACTGATCATGTCATTAGCGAGGTTAGCCAGTCAGCTAGCCTAGCTGGCTACTAAAAGAAAAGCAGAGCAGCTTTAAGAAGGTTCACTGCTCACTTTCACATGGCACTGAAGCTTAATGTGGAAACTCTTTTAAGCACCAAGTGTTAAGGAGCAACCTTAAGCTAGCTGAGCTCTAAAGAGCAGGCTAACATTTGTGCAACACAATGCCTAACGGTAGCTAACGGTTATCTTCTAAGACTTTTTGTCAAGACTATCACAACCACTATACAAAAATGAACTGTAAATATTTCAACATGTAAGTTGCGAAGCTAATGGTGAAAAGTGATGTCTGATTACTTCCTGTCAACTCTGCAATTTTGCTATTACTTTCGCCTCCGATCTTAGTGGTCAAAGCGCTTTTTCATCCTGCCTAGCCGGCTACTAAAAGGTCTGAAAAGCAAGCTAACATTTGTGCTACACTGAGTGACTCGTGTTAGCTAATGGTTATCTTGTAAAACACAGAGGTTTTTATCAAAACTATCACAAACACTATACAAAATTAACTGTAAATATTTCAATATATAAATTGTGAAGCTAACGTGAAAAGTGATGTCTGATTACTTCCTGTCACCTCCACAGTTAGCTCGTCATTACTTTCACTTTCAACTTTAGTGGTCGAAGTGCTTTTTCATCCTTAAGTTAGACTCTTCCCTTTTCATCATTAGCTTTGTACAAATTGTTTTTATAATCACCTCAGTATCTTAGATAACTGTTAGCGTTGTTAGCTAGCCACTATAGCTTAACGTTAACATGATTTTCAGAGCTTAGCCTAAGTTAGATTTCAATGGCCTTTTCTTTCTAAACGCTTGGTGCTTCGTCAAGCTTCCAAAATTATTAAGGTGAGTGGTGTTCACCGTCTTCAGAAAGCTAGCAGTAATGTTCTCGTCACAAACCTGACAATGCTAAACTTCACTTTAGCAGCTGGCTAGGCTAGCTTACCGGCTAACTTCGCCATGAAACTGATCACAAACAAACGTTAAACAAACACACAGTTAACTGTGAAAAGTTAAAAATGTAAAAACACTTTGATCACTGAGGTCGGAGGAGAAGCTAACGCTACAGGAGGTTACTGGAAGTTCATTTCACAGATTCGTCACGCTACATTAGCCACGTAGAGATCACTTGGGAATTTTACTGCGTCAGTGTACGGTCACATTTTAGTGTTTGTCTCTGTTTCCTGTTTCAACGTGACAATTTAAAAAACACAACAATAATTTCCCTGAAGCGATGACAGTAAAGAGCCGCAGACGGACAGACGCGCCTCATGTTGACTCTTCTTCTCTTCTTCTGTTGTCTGTTGTTTTTCCCAGGCTGCAATAAGGGCAGCGCGCTCAGCTCTGACGGCCGCAGGCAGAAGACAAAGACCGGGGATTAGGTAAGAAAACAATCTCTCAACATACCTGAGCTGAAACCTTTAAAACCCAGAGCTGCTGTCTGACAGAAAACACGTCACAGACGAAGCTTTGCCTCCAGAAAGTTCTTTAATGTTCACGACTTGTGACATCAGACAGGAAATAAATAAGAGGTTTTATCTGAGTGGACTGAACCTGAGAGGAAGCTGGTAGCTGATACTGTGTGTGTGTGTGTGTGTGTTGGTCAGTAGTGTGTCACTCCAGCAGTGGATCATGATGCATCATGGGATCCTGGTGACCTTTGACCCTGGGGGACACAGAAAGAGTGAGAGACAAGCACAGAGTCATGAACCTGATCAATAACTGATTTATCAACAAAAATATTGTAACATGTCAGAGCTCTGTGTGGTTGTTGAACGTGTGTCCATCTGACGCTTAACAGCCTCTGCACCTGGGACCTGACTTGGGACTTGTTGCTCCTCACATATGACTTGTTGGTCTTAAATTTGGACCTGTTTTTGGATTGAGGACGTCTTTGGGTCTGACTGACTCGGAGATCCTGACTCACTCACTCATGACTCAGCCGAACTTAGGACTCATTTGACTTGGACTTGACTTTTGAGTTGACTTGGGTCTTGTTAGTCCTGACTTGGAGCTTGAATGTTAGCCTACTTTTTGGACTTGATTTTGTGGTGACTTGGCTCTTGTGGGTCTTGACTTGGAACTGGATTGTTAGCCTCTTGATTGTTAGCTTCTTTTTGGGACCTGATATTTGAGTTGACTTGGGTCTTGCTGGTCTTGACTTGGAGCTTGATTTGACTTGGAACTTGATCATTAGCCCCTTGATTGTTAGCCTCTTCTTGGGACTTGACTCAAGACCAACAAGACCCAAGTCAGCTCAAAACTCAAGTCCCAAGAAGAGGCTAACAATTCCCAAATTTAGTTCCAAGTCAAGACCCACAAGACCCAAGTCAAGAGGAGGCTAACAGTCAAGCTCCAAGTCACTTTTTATCTGACATGATGGAGTCAGACTGAGAACAGGAAGCTGAGGTGGATCACACCCATCGAAATCTGACTTTCAAAATAAAGCTGATAAGAATCGATGAAGTCAGATGGGTGGAAAATAAAAATGGAGTCACTGGGGTCCGACCGCGTCTGAAATGTCAAGTCACAGTTTGTTCAGAAACGTGACAGCTCTGACAGGAAGTGTGAGTTTCGGTGTGTGTGTGTGTGTGAGTTTCGGTGTGTGTGAGTGTGTGTGTGTGAGTTTCGGTGTGTGTGTGTGTGTGTGGAGGGTTCACAGGAAGTTGGTTTCAGTGGTTTCGTCTGTGTTCACACTGACGGTCCTGACCTGAAATGCCGAGGCAGCCGAGTCTGACCGTGTCCACAGTTTACTGAGTCTGATTTTAACGTAAACACTGAAAGGACCTGAAGTGTGAACACTGAAATCTCATCGAGTCAAAACTATCAGGATCAGCTGACAATGAGAGGATCAGCAGAACTGATCCTGAAGAACACAGCGTGTGCACGTTCAAAGGTTCTGACCTTTGTGTTGGGCAGTGATATGGTCAGTCCAGCAGGGGGCCTCCTGATCAGGCTCAGCTTCTTCTTCCAGAGGTAGTAGAACTCCACACACTGAGACAGGGACTTAGTCTGAACCTGAGCACACACACACACACACACACACACACACACAGGGACTTAGTCTGAACCTGAACACACACACACACACACACACACACACACACACAGGGACTTAGTCTGAACCTGAACACACACTCACAGTCTCATGGACTCGTCTGAAGTCTTTGTGATGAAGGTGCAGAGATTTGACCATCATCCTCCTCTCTGCTGCGCTCCACCTCACACCTGGAACATACACACACACACACACACACACACACACACACACACATTATCATAGAACTTATTTATGCCCTTACTGTATTTACACACTTGATATTTATGCACTTCTTACCGCACTGTATGAAAGCCACTGGTGTTGCTTACCCTGATGGTGCGGCGCTGTGTGGTCGTCGGAGGTCTCAGGAGTTGACAGAAATTTCTGCACTGTCAGCTGGAAGAACAAAGACGGACCTCAGCATCACAGCGGCCATTTTGATTTGGGAAACTAGAGTAAACAGTTTATATTGAATCGGCCTGTCAGAACTCGACTCGCTAAGCTTAGCACCAAGACAGAACACAGCTGATCTTTACCAGGAAGTCTCCTCTGCACTCTGATAGGACATGGAGGGCAGACTCCGGGCTGGCCCCGCCCCCCGGCACCACGCTGGAGCGAGCCATCATCATCAGAGCTTCAACTGGACGAAGGAGGCGTCGGTCAGAAAACCATCGGGTGATAACCATGATCATAAAATCAATAATCAGTATGTGTACCTCTCTGACGATTGACAGGACGCTCCAGCTCGTCCCACGGCGTCCACAGCAGCAGTGCATTGTGGGGGTCAGCGTCAGTGTGTTCTCGACCCAGCAGAGGTGGGATCTCAGCCTGGAAGCTCCGCCCCTCGTTGATCCGTCTGTGATTGACAGCTCAGCGTGAACAGGTGATGTTCCCGTTAATGTTTGTTAAGAGATCAGTAAATTTACGTACGGCTTGTTGAGTATCGTCCCTGGAGGAGGGGAGGCCGTCTCCATGGAAACAAGATCGCTGAGTCCGTCTGCCAATTAGAGACACAGAGTTTAACGTCATGTCCTGCCTGTAGGTGTCACCAGCAGGACTTAGCACTTGGTGGTCATTGGTCATAGATCAAGGTCATTGTGACCTTGTGTGTCTTATTCTTGTGAATTCAATAGCTCAAGAACACCTCGATGGATTTTTTTTTCAAATTCGGCACAAACATTCATCTGGACTCAACGATGTAGTACTTTGCTTTTGGTGGTAATAGGTCAAAGGTCAAGATCAATGTGACCTTGCATCGGTCTCCTTTTCATGAAGGCGATATCTCAAGAACACCTTGATAGATTTTTTTTAAAATTCAGCACCAATGTCAACTTGGAGTTAAAGATGACATGATTAGACTTTGGTGGTCAAAGGTTGAGGTCACTGTGACCTTGTGTTGGTCCCATTCTTATGAACGCGATATCTCAAGAGAATCTTGATAGAATTTTTTTTTAAAAATGGCTCAAACATTTACTTGGACTCAGTGTTGAAGTAGATCGTCTTTGGTGGTTATAGGTCAAAGGTCAAGGTCACTGTTACCTCGTGTGTCATATTCTTGTGAATGTTATATCTCAAGAACACCTTGACAGAATGTTTTCAAATTTGGCACAAACGTTCACTTGGACTCGAGGATGAACTGATTAGATTTTGGTGGTCAAAGGTCACTGTGACCTTGCATCCATCTCATTTTTGTGAATGCAATAACACAAAAACAGTTTGAGGGATTTTTTTTAAATCTGGTGCAACATTCACTTGGACTCACTATGTGTGTTGTGAAGCTGCACCGCCTGCACTTTCTGCTGCCTCCTGGTGGCGAGGGAGCAGTACAAGCCGGGCCCCGCCCTGATGGGGCACAGCATGGGCGGAGGGGTGTAGTGTGCACCGTCACCCATGGCAACCGCTCCATCACCTGCCTCACCATCCTCAGCTACAGCTTCCTCTTCTCTGTGGTGCAGCAGGCTGCGGTACAGCAGCGCAGCACCTCCTGTGGCTGGAGACAGATGACTGCCTCGCCTCTGTCCACTCCTACATGCTTTAGATTGGACGGGCACAGAGACAGGCATCACCATGGAGACAGAGGGTTGGACCGTTGGGGCGGAGGAGTCGTCACCCTGGAGACAAAAGAATGCCAGAGCACTGTTGGAACAAGAGGCAACTGTGGCAACTTGTTTAAATGACTGTGAGTGGACACAGGTCACACACTGACATTACGGGGACTTATGTCCCTGGCTGGTCCCCTGAAGGTAAACCACAGTGTATAGACTTCTGGTTGAGGTCAGGGGTCTGGTTCACACCACTTAAGTCCCCCAAAGTGACAAAATCCAGTTTGTGTGTGTGTGTGTGTGTGTGTGTGTGTGTGTGTGTGTGTGGACCTTGTTGGACCATGACGCTGATCTGGATCGACTGTGGGAGCGCATGTGACCGTTGAGCGCCGGCAGACTCCTGAAGTCACGCTGACACACCGAACAGAGCAGCCTGCAACACACACACGTTAAGCATGTAAGACACACCATCATCATCATCATCACCATCATCATCATCATCATCATCACCATCATTATCATCATCAGGCGGATTACCTGGACTTTAGAAGCGCAGAGTTGTCCTTGGGTTTCAGACGTTTTACCTAAGAACAAACAGAACAGATCAGGATGGTGCGGGTGTTTATAAAAACTTTTCAGTGGTTATTTTATTGACATGTTGGTGCGCTTATTTACATGATTACTAATTTATGTACCTACTTATTTACACAGTTGTTTATGCACTTACTGATTTTAGCACTTATTTGTTAATGCACTTACTAATTTATGCATTTGTTTATTTACACACTTATTTATTTATGCACTAACTTTTATACGCACTTCCGTATTTATGCGCTTATTTATTTACACACCTTTTTATGACTGCACTTTTTCATGCACTTATTTGTATACATACCGCATTAATTGATGCACCTATTCATTTACGCACTTATTACTGCACTTATTCATTTACAGTTATAGGTGTACTTTTTATTTTCGCACTTATTAATTCACATAATTACTTATATATGCTCTTATTTACCCTTTTCTTATTTTCTTACTGACGTACTTATTTATGCACTTATTTACGCACTTTTTTATTCAAAAAAGTTATTTAGCTACACACTACCTCATTTATGCAGTTATGTATTTACACACTTATTTATTTATACACTTAATGATTTACAAAGTTATTAATTACGGCACTTATTTATTTAGAGCGAAGCTCTCGATTTACCGGTCGATCTACATTCCAAACCTCACCTATGGTCACGAGCTCTGGGTAGTGACCGAAAGAACGAGATTGCGAGTACAAGCGGCCGAAATGAGTTTTCTCCGCAGGGTGGCTGGGCTCAGCCTTAGAGATAGGGTGAGGAGCTCAGACATCCAGGAGGGACTCGGAGTAGAGCCGCTGCTCCTCCACATAGAGAGGAGCCAGTTGAGATGGTTCGGGCATCTGGTAAGGATGCCTTCCAGACGCCTCCCTTGGGAGGTGTTTCGGGCGTGTCCAACCAGGAGGAGACCTCGGGGCCGCCCCAGAACACGCTGGAGAGAATACATCACCAAGCTAGCCTGAGAAAGCCTAAGGGTTCCCACAGAAGAGCTGACAGAAGTGGCAGGGGAGAGGACTGTCTGGGCTTCTTTGCTGAGGCTGCTGCCCCCGCGACCCGGACCCGGATAAGCGGAGGACGACGAGTACGAGAGTACGAGTATGAGTATATTTGAGTTTATTTACCAACTTATTTATTCCTACATTCATTTATGCACTTATTACTGCACGTATTTATGCACTCATTTATTGATTTAAGCACTTACTTGTTTATGCACTTACTTATTTAACGCACTTAGTACCACACTCATTTATGCCCTTATTTATTTATGCACCTTCTTATTACTGCACTTTTAATGCACTTGTTTGTTTATGCACTGAGTTATTTACTCATTTATTATCACACTCATTTGTGCACTTAATTATTTGTGATAAGACCTTACTGTCTGGTAAACTGAAGCTCTGCTGCCTACAGTTTGGTCTCCTTCCCCAGGCGCTGTGGCCACTCACTGTTTACGAAGTCCCAATAACAACCGTGGAGAAGATGGAGCGAACCATCACATCATATGCAACGAAGTGGCTCGGTGTCCCATGATGTCTGAGTAACATCAGCCTCTACGGCAAAGGAGTCCTGGAGCCACCTCTCACTGGTCTCACTGAAGAATACAAGTGTTAGAAAGTAAGACTCCAGATGACACGGAAGGACTCCAGAGACCAGACCATCAGGACTGCTGCAGTGCCCCTAGTAACTGGGCGGAAGTGAACACCACCCGATGCAGTGCAGCAAGCCACATCAGCCCTGAGGCACAAAGATATCGTGGGGCAAGTCCAGCAGGGAAGAGAAGGCTTCGGACTGAAAGCACGCAAACCAACCTGGCAAAAGGCTACAACATCAGAGCAGAGGACACTGGTGGTTGAGGAGGTGCATCGACAAGAGGAGGTCATGAGGAGTGCGAAGGCTGTCTCTCTTGCCAAGCAGGGGCAATGGATGCAATGGGAAGGTGTGGAGAGGAGAAAGCTCAGCTGGAGGGAGTTATGGATAATGGAAGCAAGAAGATCAGCTTCATCATGAGGGCGACATATGACGTCCTACCGTCACCAAAGAATCTTCACCAATGGTTTGGTGAGGATCCAGCATGTGCCCTCTGCCCAACTCCAGCAACCCTCAAACACATTGTGACTGGATGCAAGACCAGCCTCATGCAGAGGAGATACACCTGGCTGCATAATCAGGTCCTCAAAAGCCTGGTATCAGTGCTGGAGAGCAAGCAGACTACAACCAACTCCTTGCCACCAAGACCAAGCAATCCTTTAAAGGCAACAATGTTTGTCTGAGAAGGACAGAAAACACCTAAACATACTTCCACCATGTCAGAAGCAGGGCAGCTACACAGGGCTCATGACTAGAAGATGCTGGCAGACAATGGCCAACAACTAGTCTTTCAGAGATTGCCTCTACCAACCTCCAGCCAGACCTGGTGCTCTGGTCCTCTTCACTGAAGACTGCTTAGCAGCAGAAGGAAAGCAGCGTGGCTGGAACACCAAAGTCTATCCAGTTGAAGTAGGATGCAGAGGATTTGTGGCATTGTCTACCATCAGGCTGTTGAAAGAACTCGGATGCCATGGTCAGGCCTTGCAGAAGACCGTTAGAGCAATCTCGGAGGCAGCGGAAAGAATTAGCCAGTGGATTTGGCTTAAGCGGAACGATCCATGCTGGGCAAGTACATCAGCATAAACCACCGGAGAACCTCCTGCCTGTCCACCGGTTAGACAGCTGACTGGAACAACAGGGTGAATTTCAGGGACGGTTGGGCGTGGTACACAAGCTGCGGGCTGATCACCTGGCAGCGGGCCTACCTTGTGAAGGGTGTATAGTGTCGAAGGCCGAAACAACCAGTGATGCAAGGCCACACTACTGATGATGTGTCCCGTGCCCAATTATCCTGAAATGTCATCCTGGCCAAGATTAACCTCCCCCACCTGTTGATTCTCTACCACTCCCATCATCAAGGAAAATCTCAAGTAGGTGCTCACCACCTATTGGCACAAAGGGCAGTATTTACCATCTTGTCCTGTATATTCTGATACTGCAGTTATTTATATATAATGGCAATTGTTAATTCACATAATTATTTATTGACGCACTTATTTATTACCAAACATATTTATCCACTTATTTATTTATGCACTTATTTATTTACAGTTATTTATTATCACATTAATTGATGCACATATTCATTTACGCACTTATTTATGCACTTACAGGGAGGCCTTTGGGTGGGGCGGTGCTGCTCAAGTCCTGTCCTCTTCCCTGTGGACAGAAACAGCTGGCTGAGTTTGCAGCAGTGTGGAGGAGGCCCGTCTGCTCCTGGATCAGATCCCTGTGGCTGTTGAGGACACCCCTCCGGTCCTGGATCAGATCCCTGTGGTTGTGGAGGACACCCGTCTGGTTCTGGATCAGATCCCTGTGGCTGTGCAGGAGGCCTGTCTGGTCCTGGATCAGATCCCTGTGGCTGTGCAGGAGGCCTGTCTGGTCCTGGATCAGATCCCTGTGGTTGTGGAGAAGGTGTCGGCTGGTCTGGAGGGGGCGGGGCTGACTGGGGTCGGAGGTCAGACGGTAGCTGTTGTACTCATCCAGACACCAGTGAAGGGTTTGATCTTCACCCACCTGTCTGAGTGTCTGCTTCTCTTTACCAGGATGACCCTGTGCATCGGGGCTGGACAGGGTCGGGGTTTGTGGGTAATGAGGACTCAGACCAGGGGTGGTGAGGCTACAGAAGGGCTGTGCGCTACTGTTTTCATGGCAACTGTGGCGGAAGAAATGCGTGCTGGAGAAATCTTCAGCCGATGATGAGGTGAAGTCGACAGAGCTCCATCCTCCCTGGGGCAGAGTCGGCCTCCAGGTGTTATGACCTGGACCAGGTGTGTCCCCCTGTCCGCACACGCCACCGGCCAGGTCTATGTGACTGTTGTGGGGCGGTCTGTAGTGACTCGCACCAGTACTGAACTGGTTCTGGTGATCAAGGTGGGCTGTGGTGAGCAGATAGGGACGTTCAGCAGGTGGTTCAGACCTGCTCCACTCTGGATGATCTACATCTACAGTTTGTTTGGAGAGGAGGTGCTGGGGCAGGGAGAGGAGGTGAGGTGAGGTTACCTGAGGGTGAGGGGAGGTAATATGGGTCTGAGGACAGAGGTGAGGTGAGGATCCTTGGGTCTGAGGGAGGAGGTGAGGTGAGGATACCTGGGTCTGAGGGAGGAGGTCAAGTGAGGTTATGTAAAGGTGAGGGAGGTGAGGTGAGGATACCTGAGGGTCAGGGAGGTGAGGGGAGGTTAGCTGAGGGTGTGGGAGGAGGCGAGGTGAGGTTACAGTTACCTGGGGTTCAGGGAGGTGAGGTGAGGTTACCTGAGGGTGAGGGAGGTGAGGTGAGGATACCTGAGGGTCAGGGAGGTGAGGGTAGGTTAGCTGAGGGTGTGGGAGGAGGTGAGGTGAGGTTACCCGGGGTTCAGGGAAGTGATAGGAGGTTAGCTGAGGGTGAGAGATGTGAGGGAGGTGAGGTAAGGTTACCTGAGAGTGAGGGGGGGTTACCTGAGGGTGAGGGAGGTGAGGTGAGGTAACCTGAGGGTGAGAGATGTGAGGGAGGTGAGGTGAGGTTACCTGAGGGTGAGGGGGGTGAGGTGAGGGTACCTGAGGGTGAGGGGGGTGAGGGGAGGTTACCTGAGGGTGAGGGAGGTGAGGGGAGGTTACCTGAGGGTGAGGGAGGTGAGGGGAGGTAACCTGAGGGTGAGAGAGGTGAGGTGAGGTAACCTGAGGGTGAGAGATGTGAGGGAGGTGAGGTGAGGTTACCTGAGGGTGAGGGGGGTGAGGTGAGGTTACCTGAGGGTGAGGGGAGGTTACATGGGTCTGAGGACAGAGGTGAGGTGAGGATGCTTGGGTCTGGGAGAGGAGGTGAGGTGAGGTTACCTGAGGGTGGAGGTGAGGTGAGGTTACCTGAGGGTGAGGGAGGTGAGGTGAGGTTACCTGAGGGTGAGGGGGGTGAGGTGAGGTTACCTGAGGGTGGAGGTGAGAGGAGGATACCTGGAGACGGTTCCTGGCTAACGAGGATGAGGAGAGAGGAGGTGGTGAGGAGTTGAAGACAGACGAGTGATGCATGATGGGAGGAAGAGGAGAAGGGGGAGGAGGAAGAGGAGAGGACGATGAAGATGTCCCTGAGTCAGCCTTGATGTCACACACACTTGTTGATGTTTGTGAATGTGAGGACCTGCAGGAGACAAAGAGGACATCTGATGAGCTCTGACATCACAAGTGTGTCTGAGTGTGGACACTGTGTGTGTGTGTGTGTGTCTCAATGTGGACGGGATGTTATCTTCACGCTAACGTGTCCACCACAGGGTGTCTGTGTGTGTGTGTGTGTGTGTGTGTGTGTGTGTGTCATAAGACGCCTCAGTCTCAACTTCTCTTAAAGGGACATGTCCAACTTTCACATGTCCAAACTTCTCTTTAAACTCAACACACATGGTTATGTACGATCTTAAATCGTGTCCATGTCTGTCCGTCTGTCCCTCAGCAGAGACAAAGTGTCTCAGAGTCAAACAGGAAGTAGAATTATTTTTAGTTGTTGCTATGAAACAGTCTCACATGGGTCTGTCCTCAATGTTAGCATCAGATCAATAATGAGACAGAGGGGACAGAGTGTCCACGCCGAAAGAAATAAAATCATGTCTCACCTGAAACATCACCAACGGCAGCTGACCGAGTGTGTGTTTGTGTGTGTGTGTGTGTGTGTGTCAGGATGTGGTCACACGCTCTTCCTCTCTCGGGTCGACGCTCTGCCTCTTCCTCATAGAGACAACGTCAGATAATGCACAGACACTCTGAGACACCCTGAGACACCCTGAGACACTCTGAGACACACTGAGACACTCTGAGACACCCTGAGACACACTGAGACACCCTGAGACACACTGAGACACTCTGAGACACCCTGAGACACACTGAGACACTCTGAGACACACTGAGACACTCTGAGACACACTGAGACACTCTGAGACACACTGAGACACCCTGAGACACACTGAGACACTCTGAGACACACTGAGACACTCTGAGACACTCTGAGACACTCTGAGACACACTGAGACACACTGAGACACACTGAGACACTCTGAGACACACTGAGACAC